GGCAGCTACTGTCTAAACTAAATACTGCGGTGATGAAACGCCATTTCAAGGATTATCAAGGATTGTTTCTGAAACAGTATGGAGCTCAAAGGCTTTCTCTCTTGCCGGTTATACCACAAGGTGAGTTCCTTTTTATTTCCTGCTTCTTCACACACATGCTCTCCAGTACAGGTTAGCTCTGAGTGTTAGCGATGCTAATGTAAACACCGACCATATTACGTCCAAAACAGTCGGGCATTGTTTCTGATAGCAACTTTCTGATAGGCCCGTGGGTGTAAAGCCAGCCTACATTTCCGATATTACGTCATATCGGACGCAAATCTGGATCAGCTCCGTTGTAGCCCCGTTTTTAGAGATTTGGGTACGGAGGAAAAGAGAGAGGGGCGCTGCGTGAGTTCCCCGACACACCGGGGACACACATTTATGTATAAAAGTCATCAAAAAGTGCATTTTGCATGATAGGTCCCCTTTAAAACAAAATGCAAAACCCTGATTAATTTCCAATTCAAAACCACATTCATTCAGCTGCATTATGGTTACAAAACCGGGAAGTAGGGATTCGAAGCTGCAATAAATGTTCAAGTGTTCAACATTTCAAAGTTGCGTGGAGACTTTCAGTTCATCAGAAAGAGTCAGCAAGATCTGAGCAAGTAGGATAGCAGATGGATCTTCAGCAGAGAGTAAAAGGATTTCAGCAACACAAGGGGAGGGTCCGGTAGTGAAGAAACTGTTAAGATTTAAGGGGCTGATGAGAGGCTTGAGTTAAGGACAGAGAACATGGAGTAGATTTGAGGTCATGGCTTTAATATAGGTTTTAAATCAAGTTCAAATGAAGGAAAGTTAAATGTAATGTAATCACGTTCATTTCTGTTGTCACTGCTGGCTTATAGATGACTCTTCAGATTTGTTGTCATGTTGTTGTTACTGTCAGAGAGATGCATTTCTCAAATTCACAATTCTTGCATTTATTTTTGACAAATCCAAAAGGCTTGTGTACAATGTGCCTGCCAAGGATGGTGACAGTGGATTTGACAAATATCAACGAACTGGAACACAAGGCACGGCATGATGTGCTTATACTCTGCAGTTTGAAGTTGTTTCTTTTTAACAATGACATTTGACAATACTTTGATTTTAAAATAAATGTGACAGCCATAATTGCCATCGAGTAGTTTTGTATCCATTGGCAAAATACACAGATTTTAGTATTTATACATTACTTTATTTTTTTGTTAAATAGCGGATGGATCTGATTGAGTTAGTTTTCAAGATGTCAGTCTCTACGTTTTAACAATTTATAATATTTATTATATCAGTAGATCATAATTGTGATCAGCTACATTATCCTAATCAATGCTAGTGGACTTTTTATTAATAGTATGAACCATGGAAATTAACCAGTAAAATAAATAGTCAGTAAAAAACCACAATATTGTCTTCCAAATGATAGTGTGGTAGAAGTATAAAGTACAGTATAGTACCTCACACTCAAGTACAGAACTTGAGTAAATGTACTTTCCACCACTAAACAAGCTTTAGATACCTTTACCTAACTTATGAGCAAACCTCCACTTATTTACACAACCAGCAGATGCACATTAGCATCCATTTGTTTCTGTCCGCTCTGTGAATGCAAGTCGTGTGTGAAGTCACGCTGTGGTGCAGAAGACGTTTTTCCTCTTTGGGAAACACTCCATAAAGCTGGAGGCTCCTCTGCAGCCGGCTGTTTGAACCCCTGAGGGAGCCGTTAGCCGTTAGCTGGAGGCCCGCGGGCCACAGTCCGAGCGGAGAGCGCATCTCGGCGAGCTCCCAGCACAGCGCAGAGTTTCTTTTCTCTTTTCCCTGAAACTGGTGGAAGTTTGACAAAACACACTCTGCCTCCATGGAATTTTTAAAAGGTGTTCAAAAAGGCTCTTTAGTGTCGGCCGGTTGGACCTCCACTTTGAGAATCAGAATCAGAATACCTTTATTAGTCCCACAGAGGGGAATGTACGTTGTTACAGCAGAAAAGAGCCAAAGACAGCTTAATGTTACCTAAGAAGCATGCATACAAAAGTATTAAAGTTATATATATATATATATTGCACATAGTTGGTTGGTATTTAACAACAAGGGGTGTTATAGTCTGTGTTGTGGTGTGTGTGTGTGTGTGTGTGTGTGTGTGTGTGTGGGGATCTACTAGACTCTAACAGCTCAACGACTGTTGGGTTGGTTGGCGTGAAGTTTGGTACAGACGTTCATGTTCCACAGAGGATGAACCAAACAGACTTAGGTGAACTCCTGACATTTCTTATAGCGCTATAGGCAAGGCCTAGCTTTCACTTATTCTGTGAAAATGAATGGATCATCAGAAGGGGTATCAGGAGAAGAACATGTTGGTTTAGGCGAGGGATCATGTCTGGGTATGTCATGCAAGAGGCACGACATGACGAGGGTTACAAAGTCGGCCGCAAAGTAAAATGCTTTTTTTTTTTTTTCATATAGTGGATTCAAAGGTTTTTTTGTAATAAGCACAAACGAAACGGTGTAGTTGTTGGATATGCAAATCTTAATTCCTTGGCCCTGTCCACAGTGCAATGCAAAATATATACTTAAGAGAAACAGGAAGTGACATTGCAATAAAAATAGTGTGAGAAATACAATTGTTCAGGAATAAGTAAGCTATGATCGAATTTGTTAAAATCCGGTGTGAATTTGACAAAAGTAGTGACATTTCACCCCGTTTACACGCTAAAGTAATGTGGTAAACACCTGCTTAACATCAGCATTTTAACATTGTCACTGTGAGCATGTTAGCCTGTTAGCTCAAAGCAGCGCTGTACCTCTACAGTGACTGACTGTAGAGTCTTGTTTTACTCTCATTGAGTTCCCAGTGGGGAATCCATGCGCTCTGTGGTATGCACCAATTACAGTGTTTTTCCCTCTTCCACACACACACACCCTTGACCTGTGTGTGTATCTGTAGCCAAGTGGATGACTCAAGGTGACTTGTTTCCGTGCCCCAGCCCAGAGAAAGCCCTCGGCTGTTTTACCATTTCTGTCACGATGACAAATTATTGTTTGAAGTTGGCCTTAAAGTCCAGCCACTAAATGACTTCATTTTCGAGCAGCAGCAGCAGCCCGTCTCTATTACGGAGGATTTAGTAATGATATATCACCTCTGGCTTGTCCATATAGGGAGATGTGACACTACAATGAGCAGGTTATCTGAGATGGCTGTGAAGGGTTTTCCTGTCATTCCCAGCAACAAGAGACTTTTCTCAACAAGAAGTTTTACCGCATATCCCAACCCCCCCCCCTCGCTCTTACTTTCTCCCTCCTACATGTGTCTTCTCTGTTTTTCTCATTAGCCAGACAGATAAATATCGCTGCTCTGTTATGCTGTCTTTATCGTGTGTGTACATGTAGACGTAAACACTGCCTTTTATCATCTCCTCAATGCAGCGTTGGCCAACTACTCAAGTCGATTTTAGGAGTTTATTTGACAATCTTGATTTGTTTTGTGGAAAGCAGCGAGCTTCCCCGCAATGAGTGCACTTTTGTCCAGAAGCCTTCCCTGAAACCTTCCTTCCTCTGATCTCTGCACAACAACACACCCCACCCTCTTCCCTCAATCATCATTGTAGAAATAATGTTGATATCTTGATGTGATTGAGACAAATAGCTAGCTGTAATGTTTGTGCTGAAATGACACCTTGAAATACAAATGAAACAGGACAACATTTTGAGAAATATGCTTATTCCTCCCAGGGTTTTGTATGCTAAATCTTAAATTGAGCACATCAGATACATTATGTAATACTGGCAAAAGACAAAGGAACATTGATAAACAAAAACAAAAAGACTACTGTAGTGGTTTTTGAGCCTGCCATTAAAAAAAAAAAATCTAGAAAACCACTACTGTATCATAACCAATGGCACTAATTCTGCACAACAACATATCTCGTCGTTCTAGTGTCTTAAAAGGAGGATACAATTTATAATATAAATAGGCCCTATTATGCTAACTTTCATATATATATGTTGTTTCTGTATTGTGAAATGTGTCCATGCTTTAAAGTTCAAAAAGCTCTTTACTTTTCTCATACTGCCTGTGCTCTATTTTCACCCTCTGTCTGAAACCAGAGCCCAGTCTGCTCTGATTGGTTAGCTGGCCAGCTCTGTTGTGATTGGTCAACCACTTAGAGATGTCCCGCCCCTTAGCCTATCACTTACAATGTGTTGGAGCGCTAGCTAGGGCTGTGCAATTAATCGTATATTAATCTCGATTACGATTTTGGCTTGCAACGATTACGAAAACAACGTAATCGAAATAAAACGATTATTATTTTTATTTAAAAAAATAAAATAAAATGTAATTTATTTATTTTTATTTTTTTATTGGTTTTTCAGTTGAATTATACTTAAAGTTCAGGGTAATCAACTGTTCAAAACATTTTTTTCAATAAATGGATGTTTTCAAAGTAAATGGATAATCGTTTGTAATAATCGTGATATCAATTATTGACCAAAATAATCGTAATTATGATTTTTGCCATAATCGCACAGCCCTAGCGCTAGCCAATATAAGCGCCAGTGTTACATAATAATGTCATCGTGTTACAGGAAGTAAACAAAGGAGGGGGGGGGGGGGACTTAGGGATTTTAGCCTTTGCAGACCATTTACATGCACTCAAACCTATATAACACACTGCAGGAAAGGGAAAACCCCAAAGCATAAAAGGACCCCTTTTAATATCAGAATGCCCTTGAAAGAGCTTTTAATGAAGAGCTTATTTGGACTGTGGTCTCCATTACTGTGTGAGAGTGTTTTGAGTGTCTCATAGTCACACTCTCACTCCGTGCTTATATAAACACTGGCAGTGACTTCAGTCTTCGTGTCTACAATGTGTTTTTACAGCTTTACCAAGAAAGGTGTGTTAATGGACGTGGAGCTGGCTGGGGGGGCTGGTTTGGTGTCTAAGTGATAAATAAAGACTGACCTGTGTGTTCTGTTTCAGATGACAAGCCCGTCCAGGAGGAGGACTGGGTGGTGTGCCAGCACCCCGAGTGTCACGAGCGCCGGAGGGCCTCCAAGGTAAGACCTTTAAACCCTAAACCCCACCAGGTCAACTAAAAAAAGGACCGTGATGTCAGAGCAGCAGTCAGCAGGTTGATCTTCAGAGTGCCGTAATGTCTGGAGATGAAAGTGTAATCATATTCAGCTCACTTAAAGTCTCAGTAAGAGGAATAGCTTCGCATTCGTGGGAAAAATACATTTACTTGCAGAGAAATAGATGAGAAGACTGCTCTCGTGACTGAATGTTCATTATTAAGCTAGCAGCATATTAGCTTAGTTTAGCTTGGCATCGACTGTAAGCAGGTAAAAACAGCCAGTCTGCGTCTGTCCAAAGGAATCAATTATCAGCCCTAAAAACCCACTATTAACACGTTATATCTTGTTTGTTTAATTCTTACAAAAACTTAATCTAAAGCCTTCGCTATATGTGGCCTTTTCCACATTTCCCCCACTGTTTATGCTAAACTAAGCTAATCCACAGCTTGATGTAGCCTTTTATTGGACAGACAGATACAAGTTGAACGATTTTGTCATTTAACTTGCAAACTACTAGCTTTTTTTTGTGCCAAATAAACAAACTCACATATACACAAACTATTGAACTATGACAATTGTGATGGCTTGGTTTATGTTAGCCATTTTATGCCTCTTTTTGTTTTAGAGAGTGGACAGTATAAAACGAGGGTACAGAAATAATGATGGGTAATGACAAGGGTCTTTGGCTGGACTGGAACGATCGTTGCACATTGTGATTAGAGACTGTTTTCCCTTGTTTCAATAAAAGTTCTTGAATCAAACAAGTGGCAACAACATGTAGTGTCAATAGGAATTATCTATAGTCGGGGGGTGAGAGAGGAAATAGTGAAGCTCTAAGGTCCGAGAGGATGTCTGGTGCTTAAATCAGTTAACAAAACAACGCCTTTGCCACGAACACTGCCGTGTGGTTCCTGTTTCCCACCAACTGGCAATGTTAGTTCCTTGTAACCATGACCATAATCATTCCCTAATCTGAACCAAGCAGTCCTTACTGTAACCATGATGACAAACATCCTCTTACCTTTTACCAAGTAGTCATTTGAACCCAAACCATGATCTATCCTTACCCTGTCCAAGTCGTTTTTGTGCTTAAAAGTGACCAAGCTTTAACCTGAAAATGCTTATTTTTTTTTTAAAGACATGGATTTGTTATGGTTTCGGGAAGTTCTGACAAATGATGTGGTTCTACCAATAAAGACGTCAGAAGACAATTACAATCATCGTAGTGATTTACAGGACTTGATGTTGGCCATCCTCAAACCTGTAAGCCAACAGATCAACTCAAGGTGTTTTTTTTATTGTCTTTTGAACAGAAACTAAAAATGAAACGGCTTTAAAATGAATGACGCACACCCTGACCTGGTCCCCATAAGTCTTCCAGGGCCTCCTAATCTCTTGACCCCTTCTCGGATTTACCCAGAAGTTATTGCATCTCTCTTGGGTTGTGTTGCAAGTTGGAGCACAGCGGCGAAGCTACTTTTTTCGTCTTTTAGGTGTTCAAATGGGCGTGAGTGTCAGGGCTCTGTGTCTGCCCACTAGACTGTGAAATTAATTATTCCTTTGAAGCCATTGGTTTCTGAAAATGGGTGTCTGGCCAGAAGAAAACCCCGACAGAGTGTCTGGTCCCTCTGACGACCTCTGGGCTGTTTTGGTTTGTCGCCTACCTGCCAGTCGAGCTGGGCATTAGTCGGGCATGATGTCCCCTCCTGTCCTCTTAGTGGAAACAATGGGAAGGGAAAATGACAGAGGGAAAGTGCATCCAGACAGCACGCGGAGAGAGGAGACTGGTATATATAGTTCTCCTCCATGGTAACTGAGAATAATAAAGTACGGAGGAAGAGAGAGCCGAAGAGCTTAACCTGAACTACCCTTTCCTTACTCCGCACATTATTGAGTCTCCCAACCCAACTTTTTCATGAAAGCGTGACAAGCTCCATACTTTAAAAAAAGATTTGTTTACACACTGGAAAAAATGCTGCTCCAAAAACAAGTTAAACAATAATGAAAACAAGCCGTTTTCACTTGAAACAAGTACTGCCAATAGACCAAGGGAAAATTAGCTTGGTAAGATTCCTTGAAATAAGAGGGGATATTTAGATAAATCAGATCTTGTAATTAGCTGGGAGAACTAATTTTGAACTATATTTGACCAGAATCAGGAAATGTTGTGTGACAATATAAGCCACAAACGCTCAAAAGTTTTCTAATTTCTGATGTTAGTTGGTGATTTTCTAATAAATATGTAAAGAAATGTGTGTTTCATCTGAGATACAAATCAAAATAAGATTTTTTGACTTAACAAGATGATGCATTGTCTAAAAACAAGACCCAATATCTCACTGCCGTGTTACTTCTGAAGTTATTATGTCTTATATCCGGTGTAAAGACATATTCTTCTGACTAGATGTTAGACAAATATACTTGGCAAGATTTCGAGTTTTTGTAGTGGCAGAGTTTTTAATGAGGCAGAAGCTTAGTTCACATGCTGTATTATTAAAGTATGTGTATTCTTTTGTGTTGTATACAGCCTGCTGTGGCACAGGGGGGAATCAGTGCGGGACAAAGCATGTCTGACGCCACCTGTCTCCTGGGTCAGGGTCAGGGTCGGAGGTATTATGTAAGGAGATTAGGGAAAGACAGACAGAAAAGGAGGGGGATAGGTTAACAGACACAGGGTGGGATAAAAGTATTTTTGAACTATTAACAAAATAACACTTTCAACTAAGGTAATTTAACCTGAGTTCATTGTATTTTTGTTTATGTAAGTCAGAGGGCAACAAAACAAGCTCTAAAGTTGGTATCAGCTCATATTTGTCTATTTAAACACCCAACAGATGAAGATTAAGAAAAGATCATTCATTTGGATTTTGTTTATGGCCACCTTATCAGTCTGCAATGTTCAAAACAACAGATAAAGCCAGAAATCTAGGTGTAGTCATGGACTCTGACCTGAGTTTCAACAGTCACATTAAAACAGTTACTAAATCAGCCTACTATCACCTAAAGAACATATCTAGGATTAAAAGACTAATGTCACAGCAGGATTTGGAAAAACTTGTCCATGCTTTTATCTTCAGTAGACTGGACTACTGTAATGGTGTCTTTACAGGCCTCACTAAAAAATCTATTAGAAAGCTGCAGCTAATTCAGAACGCCGCTGCTCGAGTCCTCACTAACACTAAGAAAGTGGATCACATCACTCCTGTTCTGAAGTCCTTACACTGGCTTCCTGTGTGTCAAAGAATAGATTTCAAAATATTGTTGCTGGTTTATAAAGCTTTGAATGGTTTAGGCCCAAAATACATGTCTGACCTCCTGCTAAATTATGAACCATCCAGAACTCTCAGGTCTTCAGTGACTGGTCAGCTTTCTGTCCCCAGAGTCAGAACTAAACATGGAGAAGCAGCATTCAGTTATTATGCTCCGAATATCTGGAACAAACTCCCAGAAACCTGCAGGTCCGCTGCAACTCTTACTACTTTTAAATCCAGGCTGAAGACTTTTCTTTTTGCCGCTGCTTTTAATTGAACTATTCACATCTTAAACTGCACTGTAACTTTTAACTTTTATCCATGTATTTTTTCTTTTAATGTTTATTTTATTATCTTTCCTTTTTAATGACTGATTTTAAATGCCATTTTTAAAATGTCTTCCATTTTTGTAAAGCACTTTGAATTACCTTGTGTTGAAAGGTGCTATATAAATAAACTTGCCTTGCCTTGCCTTGCCTTGCCTTATCAGAATCAGATTGACCTTTATTAGTACCACAGAGGGGAAATGTAAGTTGTTACAACAGAAAAAGAGCCAAAGACAACTTAATGTTACGTAGAAGCATGCATAAAAAAGCATTAACCCTCCTATTGTCTTCGTTTCCCCCCCCCCCTTACTTTGGTGTTCGCGGTCAGATTTGACCGGTCCTGTTTTAACTGCTATTACATTAACACAAAAACCATTAATCATCACCACATTTCATTTAACACCCTTTCAAACTGTAAATATTGTATCAGACTACTGGTATACATGAAGAACTGCAGTATATATACAAAGAATAGACACTGAACATGTATTGAGTGAGCCAGGTGTGATCCATGTGGGGGGATGGGCACATAAGGGGGGGGAAAAAAAACTGTGTGTGTGTGTGTGTGTGTGTGTGTGTGTGTGTGTGTGTGTGTGTGTGTGTGTGTGTGTGTGTGTGTGTGTGTGTGTGTGTGTGTGTGTGTGTGTGTGTGTGTGTGTGTGTGTGTGTGTGTGTGTGTGTGTGTGTGTGTGTGTGTGTGTGTGTGTGTGTGTGTGTGTGTGTGTGTGTGTGTGTCTTTTTCTTTATGGCGGTCTTGTTTGACCGGGAACACCATGGGTGTTACAAAGTTGACTAAATCATCCAAAATCCAATGAAAGTGGTGATCAGCAATTGTATATGTTCAAATGTCTACTGTGAAGGATATCATAAAGCCTTAATGCAATCGAATGTAAAACAAAAAAGTTATGATTGATGAAAGTAGTAAATCGGTCAGATTTGACCCGAAGACAACAGGAGGGTTAAAGAGAGAAAAAAAGTTATAATATAATAAAAAATACACTTTTGTCCAGTATTCCCTGTTGTTGTAGCTGAGTGCTCCACTGTGTTCACCAGCTGGTATATATTTCTGCGGGTTGATGCTGAGCAGGTTTCTCTGGCCTGCCTCAGCGGAAAAACACTGATAACAGTAAATCCAAACATTAAAACAACACTCAGATGAAAACAAAAAGCTGAACTTAGGAAACAAAATCTGATGAATTCAGACAGTCATACCTTGGTCATGATTTATTTGGCTGGAGGAAATCATGAAAGTCGTGGAAAATATTCTGTGTTTAGATGAATCAGTCGGCTGTCAGAGCTCCAATTATTGCATCATTATTTCAATTTTCAACACTTACTCGTTATAGCATGACCCCGCAATGATCGTATCTCTCCTAGTGAAGGTGGGATATCCCATAATGTCACA